GGTGCTGCTGCAGGTACAGAGTCTGGGCTTGATGTCTGGCTCCCTGGACTCACAGAGCTCATTCACCTTGTGTTTGAGCTAAAAATGTTCCCCAGAATTTAGAAACCAGCCTGAAGTTACTTCTCCTCCCCACCCCTTTGCTTCTCCCTTCCTGCTCTGCTGGCCGCCCTATGACTGTTTATTTTCTTTCCTAATTAAGAGCTTACTTCTTCACTGAGAGTTACCAAAGCTTGGTCCTTGCTGGACCTAAACTCCTGGTGACTTTTCGGGGACTTTCAGGTCTTCAAAAGGAGCTTGGAGTCTGCAGTGCCAGGACGTCCCTGGAGCAGGGTCCACTCCGAAACGCTTTTGTGCCAAGAACCCACAGAAAAGTCCCTCTTCAGTGGCCAGCTTTTTGCTTAATAGATATTTTCTTCCCCCTTTGTCCTCTGCAGTTCCCGAAGTTTGGAGGCTGTGAGCTTTGGGGAAACTCAGCCGGCCTAAAACAAAGGCAAACCGCCTTTGTGCATTACCGGGCTCCTGCCCCATTGTTTGCAGGAGGTCTATTGTTGTCGACCCCCTTGTCTCCCCCCCCTCCCCCCCACTCCCGCAAGGCTTTTTCTAGTTCTTCTGCTCCCTGCCGGCTGTTGAACTTCTCACTCATGTCTGGCAGAGGGCAGAAACTTGAAAATGGGCCCCTCTGCCCTCCTTCCCCTGCAGCTCACCTGCAGGGAAAACTCTGGGAGCCCAAAGGTGCTTTGCAGGATGGAGGGGAGGCCACGGGAGCTGCTAACCCCCCCACAAGCACGCACTGAGCATCCACCTCTGCTTCCAGGCCTGCATCTCCTTACCTGTCTATGTATCTACTTTTCCACTCACCCAAACCGGCAGAGACAACCTCAGACTGGTAAACAGATTAAACTATACAAACATCCCAGGGTGACCAAAAAGGTACCACAGCAATAGCTTTTATGGAAGGTTGAAGACTGTTTTTTTTTTTTTTTTCTCTTGTTCTCCTTTAAAAATCATTTTGAGCCACAAGTTACAGCCATGCATTGTATTTCTCTTCCAAGGAGGAGAAAAAGGACAGAGGAAGATTCACAGGCTGCTGTGGGCAGCAAGTGCCGGAAGTTTTGAAGGAGGTTTCACCAACTCAAGCTTATGGGCACAGAAGTCCAGCCCTAGGGTACTGCAAAAATCAACCCTTTCCCCTTCCCTTTGAGCAGAGCTAACTTCTCTGATGCCCACCACCATGTTTCTTCCTTTTTGCAAATTTATATTCTGCCTCAACACAACAGCTGAAAGGCAACATAATGGGACAGAGAAAATGGATTTGCAAGCAATTAAAAATCTGTAAATATATTAGTCGAAAATTACAGGGGATAACTGGTGTCTCCAGTCATTTCTTTGATGGCAGCAAAATGTCCTGCTTGCTGAGACTTTCATGAAAACTCAAGGGCGGCTGTATTTCAAGCCAGGTCCCTGGCATCATGCACAGTTAGTGGGAAAGGGAGAGAGGAGATGGCTTCAAAGCAGTCTGTATTGATCAATATTGCCTTGCAAAAAAAGTGCCAATACTCACTTGGAGTGAATGCCATTCATACCACTCTGCAAGCATTAGGAGGGAAGAGCAGAGCTCACCACTGCTGCACTGTACTATGACTTTCCAGCCAACCTGGACTTTTGGTAGGGATAATCCATTCCTTGCCCTGGCCCTTCTCCTTGTGCTTTTCATCAAGGGCCTTTCCTCCAAGAGGGTTAGGATAAGGGT